GCGGAGGAGTCTGGGCTAGGTTAATGACGTTTTATAATTGGTATTTGTAGCTTGCTGGTTTATGATCGGTGTTTAAGGCAGGAGTCGTCACTCTCTCTCTCACATTTCTACAGTAAGTTTCTTTGGCTCGTGCTGCTGTCTAGTGAGGTGCTATGTCTCTCCTCTCTCTCACTACTCTCTCGAAGGTTTGTTCAGAGTGAGCTCACGTAGTCTCGTACTCGTCGATCTGGATGGATTCAATACTCTTTACATCCATCTCACGGATACTCAGATTTTGGAGCGTAAATTATATATGTATATGTCTTCTGGGTTGAATATAGCACGTGATGTCTGTGAGAGAGTCACTCACTGTAGCCGTGTTACCAGCTCACAGGGGGGTTTAAGGGATAATATGACTATAACTCGGATAGCTGGACATCAGAGATCGTATTAATATATTTATATAGACGGTCACTACTATTTATATATATATAGTGGATACTTGCGGAGCTTTGTCTATATGTGATAGAGATAGAGAGTCATTCGCGATCTCACTGCACAGGCACGATTCGTGCGAATTTGTCTGTGATGGCCGTGACCTTATCTATTCTGGACGTTAGGATAGTATGCTGAGTCTCAGATGTTAGTGTAGATAGTTCTATACTGCTAGGAGAATGTGTAATATTGATGCGACTATTATGTAGTGTCTCATGATCTCAGCCGTAGTAAGTACAGTGTACCTCTATTGTGTGCGTATATAGGAGAGTAGAATAGTTGGTGTACTCACCGTAGCGGTATATTACCTGATAGGTTACTCACACTTTCGAGTTTAGTTGTGATGCGATTTGCTGTCATGACGCTAGGACGGATCGACGAATACGATGAAAGGTTAGTCACGCTCACACAAAGGGTAATGATTGGACACTCACTTGTGTTAAGCTATATCGAATTGAGACGGCATGCTGAGGAGTTGCATAATTAGTGTCTATGCATGGTTTTTAGGCTGTAGAAATCTTGTAGGGTGCGATGCGTCGTGGTGTGTGTGTGTGGTGGGTGTGTTGTGGTGTATGTATGTACACTGTACTATATAAATAGTATATACATATATATAATATATATATACCTATATTATACGAATATATATATTATATATATATATATATAATGCTGTGTGTGGGTGTGTGTGGTGTGGTGTGTGGTGTTGTGTGTGTGGTGTGTGTGTGTGTGTGGTGTGTTTGTGTGTTGTGTGTGTGTGCTGTGTGTGTGTGGTGTGTGTGTGTGTGTGTGTGTGGGTGTGTGTATATATATATAATATATGATATATATAGTTATAGTTATATATATATTAGTATATATTGTATATATATTTACACACACACAAACACACAACAACCACACACACCACACACAGACACACACACACACACACAACACAGCACAGCATAACACACACACACACCACTACACATTTAATATACGGGTATTATAATATATATATTATGATATAACCTAGATATATATATACTTATATATATATATATGACTATATATAGATATTCACATCCATACAAATACATATTAACATCATACATAACATACATACATACATATTATACTAATCTATTCTATCTAGCTATATACTATATAATAATATATATATATTATATCTACTACTATATAATATATATATAGTATATATATATATAATTTATACCATATACATATGTATATTTACACACACCACACAGACAGCACACATGCTGCACACATCACACACACACACTAATGTGGTTGAGTTTCTTTATTATATTAGGTACACACACACACACACACAGCACAGGTTCACATATATATATTAATATATATCATATATAATACGTATATATATATATAATATATATATATATTATATCATTATATGTATGTGTGTGTGGTGTGTGTGTGTGTGTCGTGTGTGTGGTGTGTGTGTGTGTGTGTATGTGTATGGTGTATGTATTATAATAGTGTGTGTGGTGTGGTGTGTGTGTGTGTGGTGTGTGCTGTTGTGTGTTGTGTGTGTGAGATATGTGTGCTGTGTGTGTGTGTGTGTGTTTGTTGTGGTGTAAATATACATTTGTATATGTATATGATACGGTATATATATATTGATAAGGGCTCAGATAGATAGATATGATAGGTTGGATTTTAATATTATATAATACTATATATATAATATATATGTAGATATACTATATATATTTGCTTAAAATATATGTGTGTAAATATAGTATACTATATATATTGCGAGATATATATTAGTACTATATATATATTATATTAATATATATAAAAAATAATGTTATATATGTATTAAGTGTATAGTATATAGTAATATGATATAGGTATTATATATATTATTATATAGAATAATATAGTAATTAAGTATATATTAATATATATATATATAGATTGGGTGGTGGTGGTGTGTGTAATAATACATATGAATATATATAGTATATATATTTATATAATATATATTATATATTATATATAATAATACTAATGTTATATATATATAATATAATATGTATATTATATATCCATACATTATATTAATATATAATAGTGGTATATATATATAATAATATCATTTATATATACATATATATATATACATAATATATACATTATGTTACATATATTACAATATATATTAACATATGATTATATATATATACGTTTTATACATATATATATGTATATATCATATAATATGTAGTATAATAATATAGTATATATAATATATATATATATTATTATATATATAAGTATATATTTTTATATATAATGTATATATATATATAATATATATATACATATACATACATATATATATGTATATATATATATATATATATATATATATATAATATATTATATATATATATATATACATATACTTATTATACATATATATATATGTATGTAAATGTTGTATGTATTATATGTGTATGTATTTATAATATATATATATATGTATATATATATAATATATATATATATATATAATTTATATATATATATAATATATATATAATATATATATATATGTATGTATGTATATATATATGTGTGTGTGTGTGTGTGTGTAATGTGTGTGTATAAATATATATATATATATATATATAATATAATATATAATATATATAATATATATATATATATATATATATTATGATGGATGGATATATGTATCTTTTTCTTTTATTTGATTTCCAGTAATCTTGACAAGAAGCAATAATTGGGAAAGTTTATTTATTGTTTGTCTTTATTTCAGGACAAGATTAGTGCATTGCAACAACAAGCTCAGCAGTATGCAGCCTATCAACAGCAACGTGAGCAGCAATGGCCGCCATCAGCTCAATCTACTGTCAACCCATGGGTGTGGGGACAGTCTGGGGTAGGTTCACATTTTTGCTTTATCATTATCTTCTGTCTTATCTTTTTTTCCTTTCATTTCTCTTCTTTTTCCATCTATTTTGTAGCCATTGCGCCTATACAGTGGTAACGTGTTGGCCTCTCATTTAGGGGTCAGCAGTTCGCATCCTGTCCAGGCACAAAATGTTTCAAATATTGACTGAAGGTTAGTATTGTGGTTGGGCCGCATGGTGGGTGAGGACTAAGCTCAGTTGAGTCAGCACCAGCTATTTGAGTCGGTTTTAGGTTCCCCTCTGCTGACTTTTCCTTATCTATTTTGTGGAAGGTGTTTTGGATTTTTATTTAAAGTAGAATATGAAGTGAGAGTGAGAATGAGGGAGAGTACCCAAATACATAGGAAGAATAGTTAGAAATTTTATCCATTGGATCCGGGTTAAATTAACTGTTGTAAAATTTGGCTGGGCCCTGGGGTGCGAGAATGTACCAGGAGAGTCGCCATTCAAGAATGGCCAGATTTTGCTCTGTACTGGCAGTGAGGCACCAGGATCTAAGGACTGAATGTATTTATCTAATACATGTTTTGCCTTAGGCTACATAAGTACCATGGCTCTTTGGCAAATAAGCAAGAACTATTCAAGCAATGTAAATAATACTTTAATCTTTCTTGTAAGTTCAAATTCTGAGCTCTGGATAGGTGGGAGGAGAAGGGACTGCAATTATGGACCTGTACTTAATTGGAAATTATCTGTACTTTTTTTTTTTTAATCTGAAAATTAAACTCCGGTTTTGCTTTACAGGTATATGGAATGTACAACATGTATGGGAACCCAACAGCTGGTGTTCTTCCAATGATGTCGGTTCCTCCTCCAACATACCAGTCCAACAATATCCCCCAGTACAATGCACCGCCCCCCGAGGTGCCCCCACCACCCCCAGAGGATCCTCCTCCTCCACCACCACCAGATGAGGACAAAGACAAACTGCAGAAGGAGAGCATGAAGGATTCGGCACTAGAAAAGAAAGACCCTCTTTTGTCAGAGAAAAAGGAGGACAGCAAGTCACAGGATAAGCCAGATGAAGGGAAGGCCCCTGACAATCAGGCCGCAGAGTCAAGGACCAAGCCTGCTGATAGTAAGGAACCGGCCCAAGGCCCCCAAAAAGACGACATGGAATCTGAGGCCAAAAGACAGAGACTCGAGGGACAGGACCCAGCCAACCCACAGGGCTTCAACTCCAACCAGGGTGAACAAGGCGGCAGCTGGGGGAATCCCTACACACCAGCCGGCAATCAGCACGACAGCGGCCGAGGCAGGGGGAACTGGCACCCTAGAGGAGGCATGGGACGTGGGGATAACCGAATGCCCTGGAACAGCAATCCTGGAGGAAACAACATGAACCAGCCTTGGGGACAGTACAACCAGGGACCAGACAACAGTGGAAGGAATCCCCAAGAGCAAGGCGATAGAAATATTGCCAATTACACCCAGGATTCTGCGAGAGGAGGGTCCGGTGATAACAGAGGAAGTGAGTTTTGCTTAACTATTTCATTATTATCTCTCATTCCTTGTCTCTTATTTGGTTATTGGAGGCTATGCATTGTTGAGAATTTTGTTTCTGACATTGTCTCTCTTCCCTCAGTGAACCTATCATAGTTTGTTCACTGCCAATTTGATTTGATAACTTCATCTCATGCTGCTATTGTTGTTTTTAGTGGCAGTGGTTTAGATAGTATATGATTAATAAGTAACATTTTGTAATTTCCCTTATCTTTGGCAGTAAAGTCAGTTTCAAAATTGATGGTTGAAATGATAACAGCAGTATCTAAAATATGAAGTATAGATGAAAAGTTTTATTGCCAAGCATATACTTTCATTTGTAAAGGGTAAGAGAGCTGCATTTATGTTTTTGTTCTTATTTTTACTACATGATATATACTTAGATGAACATTGAATTCAGATACTCCTGGAGGTGGCCGTGGACTCCTAAATCAGCCAAATGATATGCAACAAATGAATCCAAAATCAGAGTTGGATGAGGAGGTAAGTTTTGTTATTTGTTTTTTGTTTTTTCCCACACTCTCTATCCACATGAACTATTGGTGAACTATATGTAATTCCTTAATTTTTGAAATTGTAAATTTTTTATGAAGGCAGTATTCAAATAACTTAACATACTTTTTTTTTTCTCTCTCTCTCTCTTTTTTTTTTTTTTTCTTTCTTTTTCCTGATAATTTTTCTACTCTCAGTATGATGAAGACTTGAAAGAGTTTGATAGACAGTTTGGAAACTGGGAGAGGCAGTTCACACAGTGGCGAGAGCAAAATAAGAATCATCCCGATAAGAATGCACTTAACAGGTGAGTTATAGGAGAAAAAAGGAGAGAAAGGCAGTGTGGTATTTTAGTACAGTTACTTGTGAGTATAGACTATTTGAACATTGATGGAATGATACCATGGCTGCAGTGGTCTGCATAATGACGTACCATTTGGTTGTCAGGTCCTTTTCTTTTTCTATTATTAGTGGCATCATTTGCTTTTTTTGGAACTTTTGTTGATTAACTTGATCTTCTGTTTTTTTTTTTTCTGAATCAATTTATTTTGGTTCCCATAGGTACGAGGAAGACTGGAAGAGATGGCGACAGGAACTGTTACAGAAACGTGAAGAAATTAAAAAGAAAAAATTGGAAAAGTTGCAGGAAGAGGCAAACAAGAATGTTGATCCTGCCACCAACAAGAGTGCCCAGTCCCCAGCCAATGTAGGTACCACAGCTACTTCCAAAGAGCCTTCCAGCAGTTGGCAGCAGGATCAGGTATTCATAATTATATATTCTTTTTCTGAGCCTGCTAATGCAAGGAAGCCATACCATGTCCTTCATGATTTCAGTTGTTAGATGACTCCAGTGCTTAGCTCTTTACTCACCAAGGAGTTTGAGTCAATTACTAGGCCTGCCTTATCTCGACTGTTTTCACTATTCCTTAAAGCTTCAGAAAAATATATATTTATATATTTCTACAAGTAGTATTGATGTATTGGATCTGAGTGCCACATAGTTCCCTCATAGATAAAAATGCTTTAGGCTTGCTTGAGTGGTGACTGTCCCAGGTATGTGTTTTGTAGGCCCAGCCCACACAAACACTCATACTCACTATCAAGACACAACACCCTTGCCTGCTCTTTGCTATGCTATTAGCTCTTTTTATGTATACACTGTTTTGCTATTTTCCAGGGTTTGTATTTGTCATTAGTTACGCTGTAACAAAATGGTGAAAGACTATTTTTATTGAGCAGACTCCATGTTATCTCTCCAGATAGTCTACAGCTTCATTGTTTTTTATATTGTCATAGTATGCAATTTTCTATAACACACCTTGTGCCACCAGCAAAGGTGGGCAGGAATTGGAACCTGCACGTTGTGTCCTCCCTGGAGCCAGTGCTCTTCCATGCATGATACACAGATGGTGTATTTCGCCCTCATTTACTGTTTTAGAAGTGCACAAAGACCTTTCTGCACTCACAGTTAGATTTCCTTGTCACCCACCACTTTGCAACAGTATTCCATGACAACACATTCCCATTACCTGAGCCCTCAGCTAAATTTCAATGTGATGACATGTTCCCATCACCTGCCTTTTGTGTGTGTGTGTGTGTGTGATGTGATGATGTCCCTATCACCCAGATACAATGTATTACTGGCATTAGAATTTAGCATTTTCATAAACATTCAAGGAATAGGGAAATCAGGTGAGGTCACAAAGAGCTTATGAATTGACTTCTTGGTGTCTGAGCATTTATGGAACCATGTGTATACAACAAAATTCATAGAATAAAACTGAAGTGGACAGTAAATGTACCTGGCAGCAGTGGAATAATTAAAGGAATAGGGTAAAGAGAGTAAGGCTAGGTAAGCCTGGGAATTTATGAAGACATCTATGTGTAAACAAAATTATCAAAACAAAGTTAGTGGATAGTGCATGCATACTTTGCCAATAGGTTAAGAGAATAATAACAGAAAACTAAGATAAATGAACTAGTCAACATATTCATTTGCAACCTCCGGTTTAATCATTTTATTTCATGGAGTATTACTTTCACAGGAGAGAGGAAA